CAACGAAGCTTTATTAATAATTGTCAAAATGAACATTTAACATTGAATTTAATTTTTCATTACACTTCATGTGTTTCAAATCATTTATCATTTTGTTTCTTACAGAATTTGGGGTTCATATATATGTAGCGTGTAGGACTTTAAGATGAATAGTTCTTACTTCTACACTTTACAAGAAAAAAATGTATGTATATCACGGGTCTTATTTAAGGAATGAATTTAATAGGTACCCATTTTATACGGTATAAAGTGGGTTGCGGCAGTTTACGCTTTATAAACCGCGAAGCGCAAGAGCGTTCGCTTCGTGATCGGGAGGCCCGGGTTCGATTCTCGATCGCGGCGCCGCGTCATACTTAAGACGTAAACACAGGAAATGACTGTTCCTTCGCCAAGCGCTCGGCACTAGAAGTGAAAGTCACGGGTCTTTCGGATATGACCTTAAAAACGTAGGTCCCGTGTCACGGTAGGCGTTGGTATGATAAAGGACACTCACTGCTCAATGGCCCTGAGTGCCGAGTATAGGTCTAAATTTGAAGCCCTTCACCGGCATCGGTGACGTCTCCATATGAGTGAAAAATTCTCAAGAGGGACGTTAAACAATATACAATCAATCAATCAACTGACGTTGATGACAAGCGTCTTACTCTTCATGATATCTATAATTTAATGCAATCAGTATCAACCAACGAAGCTTTATTAATAATTGTCAAAATGAACATTTAACATTGAATTTAATTTTTCATTACACTTCATGTGTTTCAAATCATTTATCATTTTGTTTCTTACAGAATTTGGGGCTCATATACATGTAGCGTGTAGGACTTTAAGATGGATAGTTCTAACTTCTACACTTTACAAGAAAAAAATGTATGTATATCACGGGTCTTATTTAAGGAATGAATTTAATAGGTACCCATTTTATACGGTATAAAGTGGGTTGGGGCAGTTTACGCTTTATAAACCGCGAAGCAGTTTATAAATAGCGTAAACTGTTCCAACCCACTTTATACCGTATAAAATAGGTACCTATTAAATTCATTGCTTATGATTTAATTTTCATTCATTTGATGTTAGAAAAAAAGCTGATTGTTCTAACAAAATGACTTCAATTTGTATAAAATTTGAATGTAACGTCAGGCGGATTGATACAATTTTGACGTAAGTCATTGTGACGTAGGCAACCCATTTTATACGATATAAAGTAAATTTTTTATCCAATCCTATACAGCGTTACAACAAGAATTAAATTATAAACTGATGAAATGACATTAATTTTTCTTCTTAAGTTCCTAATGAATTGATAATTTGTCGTATTTCCTCAAATAAAAATGAAGTTGTCTGTTCAGTGGTTATTTCTTTATTTTCCGCGTCTAAAGCTATCATTTTCCAGAAAGTTGTCTTCTAAGCGCAATTCTCAGTCATCCATCAAATAATGTTATGCAGACCAGGATCAACTCCCAGCATTTTTCAAAATAAACACTATATAAACGATAAACATTCCAAATTTCAGCTCAATCAAAATAGTCTATGCCCTTGCACTCTTGATGTAAGTCACGAATACGCTCAACGTTTTAGCGATATTCTCTACATTCCTTTCCCTGTGCAGCTCCATTACTACTAGTTAAATTCATATTTTATACACATTGTATTTAACGAATTATTTCTTTTAGTTTTAATGATTAGATTTAAAATCAGCAATGGTATCATATTTATTTAGGTATTTTTGTAATTATTAAACCAGTAAATATAGTCCTCTGGATCACATGTGCTGCGTCATGTCAAAGCTGATGACGTCATATTTGACGAAAGACTTTTACTCGACTGTATTGATATAAAGTACTGCAATTTTACAAGATTTTATAAATAATCGATAAAATAAATAAGTTCAAGTTGTTATTTACGCATGATCATGTCGTTAATTAATTTTTGTGGCTTGATAAATTTCAATGACGTCACAAGTAAACTTCCAATGCTGTTTACAAGGAATGTGAACTCTGACCTTCCTTAACATAGCTGAGATTATAAATATTAGTAAGAAATCTCAGCATCCCCAGATATATTATTAAGCAACATACAGCGAAAAAACTTGCATATTTGACACTTTCTGAGCAAAATGATTTTTGAGCTATCTATTCATTACTTTGTTTTTAGTTTTAACTCAGACAAAGACATTAAAAATGTTATTTTTTTACTGTTAGCCAAAATATAAATTCCTACATAATTTCTACGGATTATTACTGCAATAAAATCTTAAATTTATATACTGAAAGGAATAAGAAACGCATGAGAACGACACATGCGATTTTAGACTATGACCGAAAATTATGAAAATTGGTCAGATGTGTATTTTGTTTACTTTGCACTAAAACCGCTGGTCAAAACTACATAACCAAGATAGCAACTTAAAAGGTTTCTAACCAACCTTGACGTTGACGTTGGCGCGTAACAACGACATATCAAGATAAGGCTTTTCATCATACTACCTCGGTTATGGTCAAGGCATTGTCAATGTAAGAGATAATTATACAGCAGACAATTATACTCATTATTTTCACCTTGATACTGACATAAACTCACAAACACAGCAGCTTTAATTTGTTCCCCGATCTTGGCAAATTTATGTCGATTTCGCTCTCACAAACGCACATACGTGTCGTATGTATAACATTTAAGCATGTTCACACTAGGAAATTGCAGCTGGTGTTTGACAAGACTGTCTTACAAACATTCAAGTTTATCAAACCAGCTAGATTCTAAAAATTCTGTCTGAAGCCGAAAATTTATGGGGGTTTGTTGTGTAGAATGTTACAGCTACTCTCAACCATTAAGACTACAGTCGAAAGGGTTGAATAATAATTGCATGAGAAATACTAGAGATACTGTGAGCAATGAGCTCACTAAATGGTAGCCCCGCCTCCCATATGGTTAAAATGGAAAATTCCATATTTTTTCTTTGGCTGGGAAACCCGAAATATGTGTCGAATAAAAATGTAAAATAGGAGCTGCACAATGGCAATATGTAATAAAGATTTTGTAAAAGTTTCATTAAATTTTCACTCAGGGATATAAGAGGCAGGCACGTAGCATCAGGGGGGGGGGGGGTGGCGGGGGAGGGGGGGGCACTTTTTCCCCAACATTACCTTTACTATAGAAAATGTCCATTGAAAAGATGGTTGCCCCCTTCTTTTTAGAACAGTATATATATATAAGGAAATACAGGAAAAAATTAGAAGTGAAAAGAAGTTAGCCTTGAAAAAAAAGGCCATTAAAACACCCTCCCCCACCCCCACCCACCCCTAAATAAGACTTTCTAGTTTGGGCAATTTTTAATTTGTTTTTTTTTTTTTTTTTGTTTTGGTTTTTTTGTTGTTCTTTTTTTTTTGCTTCTCAAGTTTTTTTTAGGTAAGTAAAAAAAAAATTTCAGGTTGCCCCCCCCCCCCCCACTTTCAATTACGATGGTACGTGTCTGAGAGAAGTAGCGTATAAGAGATAGGTACCCAAGAGCGTAACAGACAGACGGACGGACGGACATACGATTACAGTATACCCACCCACTTTTAAGCGGGGAGAACAATAAATGCTCTTATGAACACAATACATAAGAATATGAAGTATGTTACTGATGCGCAAGGGAGATATTGAGAATTTTATTTTAATTTGGGGGGGGGGGGTGTATTGACATATCAATTTCAATAACTCATAAACTCAGTCAAAGCCACACGCAGTTTTAGTTACTTGTTGATTAAAGATGAATTAAAATGTTCGATGACAATTAAGAGAAAAAGTTTGAAATAAAAAGGTTTTTATTTAATTCATATGTTCACTTTGTGTTTTTTTCTTTTTCCTTTCAGATTGAAAAACATGGTTCCTGGCCCAAAACAGAATAATTAAGTTGGATGTCGTGATCTATTACTAAGTGTTTCTAGCATAGAAGCAATTTTGGTCAATATTGCAAATTACATATACCGGTATAAGAATACTATGTAATTCAAGACTGTAAAACAAATTATATGTTTGAAAAAATGTTGAATTCAGTATAACTACATGTTCTTATGTAATTTGAAGCCATTTAATTAATTCGACACACCTTCTTTTCCGTTATCCATGACATACGTATCCAATCAGAAAGGGGACTGATAAGGAATTCGATTATAAAAATAACTTAAATAATGGAAAATTGATATCAACTATCACAATCAAGAAGAGGTGAAATAAAAATGATGTATAGCTACAATTACAGGGGGTTCTTCTGGACCATGTTTGTTGTTTCATTTAGACTTTTAGAATCAGTGTTAAAACGGAATTTTGCTCAATTAAATAAGAACGACGTTATTATTAGAGAAAATCTCTTGTCAGAGTATGACGCATATTCAGTAACTATGTGTTCAGCCATGTGTGGTCCAGAATGTTTGTATTTTGGCATCAATTTGCACGCTAATAAATGTCGGGTTTATTCGGGATGTCATCCGGGTAGTTCAACAGAAGTTCAAGTAGGATGGAGGTACTACAATCAGGAATCTGAAGGTATTTAATTTGAATAATAATAAACGTAACCAAAATAACGACCTCCGCTAAACACAATTTATTGCGGCTACTGAATAATATGAAACGTTTAATTAAAATGAGATAGGATAAAAGAAAGAAAAAGAAAAGAAAAAGTTACAGACTATGCACCTCCCCTATGAATGGGGACTGTAAAACATTAAAATAGAGAATAATTTTACTGAAAACAAAGAATTTTTAAATGTGATTCTCTATAGATTTAAAAGTGAAATAAATTTCGAAAGTCTAATTATTATTTATAATATAAGATCTTATTATTAGACACGGTCTTATATAAAATAGCCGGAAAAGGCCTAGTTGTCCCTCAAGAGATTGAAAAGAGTACCTAACGTACATATTCATATGTATAAATATTATTATTTTAAAACTGTTTTCGTTAACTCCTTTCTTTTTTAAGTTTTAGGAAAAAAACGTCCACTGAATTGTAAAGATTTGCTTGCTGGTGGTCATACAATGTCTAATGTCTATACTATTTATCCCCGTAACAACCAATGGTCAGTCAATGTCCAGTGTGATATGACCACCAAGTGCGGAGGATGGACGGTCAGTTTGATAATTATTCAATTTTTAGTACATGTATACATAACTTTTTTTATGATATTAATGACAGTTCTTAATCAATCCCACAGGTTATACAGAAGCGTGTTGACGGTTCAACCGATTTCAACAGAACTTGGAATGAGTACAAGGAGGGATTTGGTTCAGTTAATTCATCTTATTGGTTGGGTATATGTGCATTTTGGTTTACAATAAAAGGAAAGTTGTATTTCTAGTTTAAATATATATGAAATTCAGTAAAGACATACTTTGATCCTTTCGACTTTTGTTACATATATAAAATGTGTATGTTCATGGCTGTCTTTTATAAATCAGTTATTCCTTGTTCCTATATAGGTTTTACTTAATGAATATAACTATAACGTTTTTAGGAAATGACATCATTCATCTGTTAACCAAACACAAACCATCTCTGTACGTGTCCATTACTCTGACCAGTGGAACCACTCTATATCAACAGTACGAGGAATTCTCCATAACCGACGAGACAGACAACTACAGACTTTATCTGAATGGACCGACCACAGGAACACTAGGTGAGATGTGGGTTTAATAGCTCACCTGAGGCGAACGATCAATTGAGCTTTTCTGATCTAAGAATGTCTGGCGGCTGTCTGTTGTCTGTAAACGTTTCACATTTTCGTCTTCTTCTCAAGAACATATGAGCCAATTTAAACCAACTTGCCACAAAACATTCTCGGATAAGGGGATTAAAGTTTGTTCACAAGAAGTTCAGCGCATTTTTTCAAGGGAAATAATAAAGAATTTGTGGCAATTTCATGCTAAAGAAATCGATAGATAAGTTGCTTCTATAATAATTATATTTGATGAGCATTGTACAAATATAATTATAATAGAAGCAACTTCGCAGCACAGTTAAGGTTACAAAAAGGAGGCGGAGCCTAATTTGTACGGGAAAACTTGACTATGACATCATACACATTATACGTCATACAACATTTCTTTAAAATACCACAAAATGAGTTTATCTGCTTATTTAACTAGTAAGAAATCATCAAACTACATAAAAACTTACTACAGCGTGTCGTTTTGTCGTTAGTTAAATCCCACATAACAAGTTATAAACAATGCACTGATTGCAATACACTTGTCAATATGACGTCATTTCTTACAACGTGACGTAGTTTGTATGCAGTGAGAGACAAATCAAGTAATATTTTCTCAACAAAATATGTATTCTCTAGTTAAATAAAATATTATTTACAGATATTCTATGGGCCAATAACTTGAATTTAATGTCTTCTTCACTATTTTATCAATATATTTTCTGTACATTGCGTATTTATTTGACACTGCCGTTTATTTGTATGCAAGTACATCGGAGGGTAATATGGGGGTCTAAATAAATCGATCTAGTGCAAGGGCATACACTCTATGGATCAAAGTAAGCTTTTACATTTCAACTATAGAACTAATAAGGTATCTGAAAAGTGCTGCGATCCTGATGAAATCTGAAAAACCATTTAATTATATCAGTATTTCATGCCGCTTACCAGCAAAAAATATAGCATTCGGTCATACAAGTATAATTTTAACAATAGTATTGCAGAATTTAGACAGGATCGCAGCACTTTTTAGAAACTACGATACATGTTGAAAATATTTATATACTAAACTTGGAAATTTAACTTGGTTATGCCCTTGCACTATTGATATTTATATGTAACATCATTACTTCAAGTCAATGTGCTTAAATCACGTGACTGCCGCATCACGTGACTAGTCTAAATATAAAATATAATTGTCCTCGATATGTAGTTACTAATCATAATTACAATTATCCGATATAAATAATGTACTAAAAATAATCGCCATCCCCATTACGAATACATTTTTAAATACAAAATTTAGACGATATTTCCATTGCGCACCTTAACTGTACTGCGTTATCTATCGATTTTTTTTTATGCGCATGTATGTTAAGGAAGCATATAAATCATTTCTCGGGAAATTTAGACTTTTTAAAGAAAATTAAGTTGATAATTTACCCAAACCACTGATAAACGTAAACTTTTATTAAGTATCGCATAAAGATAAAAGAGCGTCTAACGCAATGACGTGCGCCACCACCACGTCATCACGTGACTTTAATTAATAGCGAAATATTCCTTAATAAAAAGGCCAACAGAACAACAGTACCCCAGGGTTTAATAACTTCTTTGAGTTAATAATATAGTCGAAAAACATCTATTTCGCCTAAAAAGTGCTGACAGAATCCCACTGTCCTGTCAGTAAAATAATTATAACACACATTCGCAGGAAACCTTATCCTACGTTCTGTATCTTATAAAGATGAACCGAAAAATTTCATAAAACCATGCTTAACTGGGGATTCTAGCAGCATTTTCCAAGTATTTTAGAAGGCGAACTTTCCATTCGTACAAATCTTATGTTTTGAAATATCCAGCTTATTGTTGTTCTCTGGCATTATTTTGTCACGAATGACCAAGTAATGACTGGAATACGTATATAGCTGACTGTCTACGAAAGAGAATATAGTTGATGAAAACAAATTAGCATATCTGTTTATTTAACTGAAGTCCATATGAATTTCATATAAAATTCCCCATATTTATTTCTAAACTCCATTTTACGTATCTTTGTACATGCTGTCCTAGCATGACTTGATCAATTCTCAAGTTACTCGATGTACACATATGACGTCATCGTTGTTAGATTTTAATCAAATTGACAGATACAGCATAACAAAATAAAAACATCTTATTTTTGTTAATTTTTACACGTTTTAATTTATTTCATAGACTTTAATTTCATCTCTACATACAAATATTACGAAAACCTGTGTTCTAAAATTTACGTCATCTCGCCTACTATGACGTCATACAGTACAGCTGGCAACGCGGATCCCGTATTTCCCTAGCCCCGTCACGGTATAATCACAACGCGGTATTTGGCCACGTGAGACAGGTAAACCGCGTTCTCTCCTTGGGAATTTCATCACCTACCTGTCCCCGCCGCGGTTAAATCATCGATCGATTAATGACAATTAGTATCGTAAACAAACGGGAGTTATCTCCGCGAATTGTAATTTGCGAATTTTCCCCGTAACAAAAAAAAAATAATAATGACACTGTATGTTTATTAAAAAAAGTATTTTCATTTTTTTGCTATGATGAATGGAAAATAAACTCAGAAAAAAATATATTTATTTTTGTTTCTAAAATTATATATCAATTTTTGAATTAAAATTATTTTTTTTTTCAATTGGTTAATTTTTTTGCGTTATTGAGAGTCTAACAAGAAAAAAAATTATATACTAGAAAGATTAGTTTTTTTAAAGAACGAGGGCGCTTTTGATTTGCATTCGGCAGGAATCTGGGCGTAATTGAAAAGTGAATATTCTATCCACATGTCACATGAAATTTTAACCTTTTTTTTATTTATCGGGTTCCTGTGCAACAGGAAAGGAAAATATTTTCAAATTTAGCTTTGATTTGCTAAAAAAAAAATGAAAATTGGACAGATGAGACATTTGGTACAAAATGATACATTTTTAAAACGTTTTTCTAAACTTTTTTCTATCTCTGGGTCTTCTTTCCATGATTTTGATACGTTATTTGTGTGTATTTTAATTCAAAGAAACGAATACACTTTTTTTAAAAATAGAGAGAAGACCCAGAGACCACGAAAAATGAACTTTTCCCCCAAAAATCCAAATGTGTGAATGTGGTGCTTCTTTGTCCTCTTAAAATCATTTGTATATGTCTAGCGATGATAGCTCAGTAAGTTGAGCTACCTGTTCAGTGTACTCGTTGCGAAAAATTTTTGGTTCGAGCCTGGCATGGGGCGTTATTTTTTTTTACATGCAAACAACCATTTATTTTGTCACTTTTGTAGTTTCGTTTTATGTACTGATGTATAAGAAATTTGAATTAGATAAATTTTGGTTCAGTCTGGTTAATTCTCGAGCGAAATCAATTCTAATCTTCTATTCTATAATGTACATGTACACGTACATGTATCATGCATCTATATGTAGGCATGAAATATTTTAGGTGTTTATTTTTTGTGAAACATTACTATGTAATAGTACCCCCTAGGAAAACGGACATAGATGTTACAATTTCACAAGGTCTTTCAAACTAAATGGAAAAAAAATCCTATGGAGGTGTTTGTAAAATCTGATCAGCTATGTTCAGCCAACCAAATCATGGACATTTAAACCATAAATGTTTCGTACAAATGATTCCTGCACATCACTCGCCAAATGCGCCCATCTTCTTTATTCATATTATATGCAAACTTTAATACTTCTGAACTCAGACAGCGTGAGTTTCGATAAACGATTTTCATGCAGCATTCATTTGAAAAAAAAAGAAGTACAATTAATCTTTGAAAAAAATGTGCATCCTCATATTGTTTATATTCTTCTCCCAAATATAGAACATTTAATTTAATTAATTTCACTTTATTCTATAATTGTGCAGGATTTTTCTTAAAGTGTCAAACAACGGGAAACATTCGATGGCGAGAGTTTGAAGTTACATGTAGTGGGCACGTGAACTTAACGTAGGACTCAATAGATAGGCCAAATTTTTCATCAAATTCAATTTTCCTAAAACTTTGATATTTTGTTTAAGGATACAAAATCTCTCTTTATGTATGGTATGAAAAAAATTCAACCGCACATTTTTTGCCCACATAGTCTGAAATATGGCCTATCAGACCCCTGTAAAAAGATTGTGAAATCAGACATTAGACTTGAGAATGAGCCGTATTTCAGAATTATCAATTGATCTATTGCAAATTCGTGTATACTTTTAACAAAGATAACATTTTTAATGCTTTACATTCGTAAGGCAACTTGATACTAGAAAATTTGAGTAAAATATTAAGGAAAAATAGAACATACGTAGCGTCGGAATGGAAAAATTTTCATGTAAATATCCGAAAGTTTAAGTTTTCTTCAGCGAAAATGTATTATTCAATTTTTACAAAAACTCAACAGAATAATTCAAATGGGTCCTAAAATGAAATATGTAAAAAGAAAGAAAATTGAAACGATGGTTTAAGATATTTTTGCGATCAAAAATATTTCAATGGCAAAAAAAATAAAAGATTCAGTGGATGACGTCACAATATTTGACCTTTGACCTCTTGATATTACCCTGACCTTAGTAGTACATAAAGAATGGAGACTCCTTATATATGTGTTCAAATATCATTCCTCTACTATGTATGGAACAAAAGTTACACTGCATTTTATAACAGACTGTTACATGCTTGTTTATTACACGCAGAATGTAAGCCCCCCAAGTGACCAATATATAAGATTCTCCAATTTTTTCACAAAATATGACGCAAACATGCCAAAACTTATTATTTTTCTTACAGGGATCATTCATTGTTTTTAATATAGTAATATGATTCATCTTTTCTCCGGTACTTTTTAAGAAATGGGTTAAAATAGAATCCACGGGTGTTTTGTCCTGCCTTAAATTTTCTTTATGCAGGACATCAAGAAAAAAAATCTTTTCTTTTTTTCTCATTGTTC